AGACCCAGACCACAAACCTTTTGATGTAAAGTTGTGAAATACAGAAAAGTTATGCCGAAAATCTTGCTGGTAGGAAAATTTATGAAAAGGAAAAAGTTTTATATAAATGCTAATTACCATCTACTTTTCCACCCACCCACTTCATTTAGTTTCACTCACACACTCACTCACTGTTGAGTTTATCAGTTCCTTCCTAGGTTCCCACTGTCAGGCCGCCTCTGCTAATGAGGCCTCAGCATCTCTGTTGGGTGCTGTGAGGTGCACTGAAAAGGGTGACCCACAGCCCACTCTGGCCTAACACCGAGGAAGATGGTGTGGGTGAAGAGCTGGACTCCCCAGGGGGTGAAGTTCAAGCTGTAGGAACTTTCTTGCTGCAGTGCAAAACATTGAAGCCACATGCACGAGGTGCCAAGCACTGGTTAAGGTAAGGTCTAGATTGACCTGTCTTTCTACAGAGAAACTGCATCCACTCTTCTGACCACTAATACTGCAATGAGGTGCTGAACACGGAAGGGGCTGCACAGTTAAGTGCAGCTACAAGAACTAGTGCTTTCCAACCATCTCTGTGTGCTGCCTGCCTATTCATCAGATACCTGGCCCAGCCTAATGTGCAAATGTTTCTGTTTGTTACAGCTGTTTTCTGTTTCCTTTGTGTTCATTTTTACTTTTTAGATCCCTGTCTACCCCTGTCCCATACTTAGTCTTGTGATTTGGCTTACTCCTGACTTAGTGGGATTGCTATACTTATTTTGAGACCTTAAAACTTTGTTCCTGAAGAACAGAGAGAAATGAAGATTAACATGTAATTTATTGTGGTTGATTGTAACACATTGTACCACAAGCCTTCCAGAGGTGTTAGATAGAATCTGGTTTTCATCAAGTTCCCCTCAGACAGAGCTGCTTGTGGGGCACCAGCCTCGTTGGGAGCTATGACTAGAATTCCCAAAAGGAGAGGGCCTGGATCCTCTGTTTTGAAACGTCCTTGACAGCTCTGACATACTCAAGGGTGCAGGCTCCTCCCAGCTATAGGATCCTGTTACTTAATGCTAGGATTTTTATTTTTCATCAAAGTAATGCTTGAACATAGCTAGAACATCAAATGGTACTAATAGCTGTATTAAGAAAAAGCTGCTCCTGCCTCCCTTGGTGCCTGTGATCAGTGGTTTTCTTGTCTGTGTGTGCTTTCCCCTCTGAAGTTACAAATTTGCTATTTTTATTTGCTAAGTTTTCCGTGAAACTGCAGTGAACTTATTTTTTACATGTGTTACAGATCTGTCCATTTTTCCAATGCATATAACATATTAGTTTTTTTGTTTTGTTTTGTTTTTTCCAGTGCTAGGGATTGAATCCAGGGCAGTTGTGCCTGCAAGGCAAACACTCTACCACTGAGCTACATCCCTAGTCCTTTTTATTTTTATTTCTTATTTTGAGTCAGGGTCTCATTCTGTTGCCCAGGCTGACCTCAAACTTGGACTTCTTTTGTCTCAACTCTCAAGTAGTTGGGAGGATTTTTGCACAAAGGTACATTTTTGTTTTGTTTTTAAAAATATGCCCTTCTTACTCCCATTGGGTTCCTTGGTCTCTAGACCCGTATGCAGATCTCTCCTCCCCTCTGTTTTGCTTTCTTTTCTTCCTTCCCCTGCTCTCACATTTTCCTCCCCATCTTTTCCTTCTCCTTATTTCTTGGATCCTTTATTGTTTTTTGGATCCTTTATTATTTTCTTTTGTTTTTGAAGAAAAGGAGTACAAGATACAGATTTTGTGCATGTTTGTGTGTCAAAAAAGACCTTTATTGTTTATTTCCTCTAAGTTGAGCAGTAGGCTAAAATTATTTTCATGGGGGCTTTTGAAGGCACTGCTCTATTTTCTCTGGCTTCCAGTGCTGTTAGGAAGCCCAGAGCTTTCCTAACTCCAGATCCTTTGTTTGTGATCTGGTTTTTCTCTGAGGGGTTTCTTTGTCTTTAAATTTTAGCAGTGTGATTATGATGTGTCTGGAGGTGGATTTCTTTGGATTTGCCTTGTTTGTGGTTCACTGAGCTTCTTGCATCTGTTTTTGTTTTTTTGACAAGTTTGGGAAGTTTTCTGCATTACATTCATCATTCTGGGACTCTGATGACAAGATGACAGAATGTCAGTCCTTTATCATTGCCTGTAGGTCTCTTTTCTTGGGAGCCATTAACTTTCTACAAAGTGGAACCTTCCATTCTCCTTCCAAGGTGGGGTTTCCAGTGGGTGGCCAAGAGAGTGGGGAAAGTTATACTTGCGGGGGATCCTTTGGATGAGTTGAGGCAGAATTCTGTTAGATTCATGGAAAATAAGGAGACTAAAAAACAATACAGGGAAGCTTCAGAAACAAACACTATGAAAAGGTATAGTTTTGATACATTCATTGGCTCAGCATTGAATATTTCCATGGATATATTGTAAAACACAAAATATTAATTTGATACATATGTGATGTAGCTGTGTTGGGAGAATAAGGCAAGGGGGCATAGGGCTAAGACTGGAAGAAAGAAAAATGCTATGTAAGAAATAGCAATCTAAGCATAGATGTTTAGGGAAAGGGAGGAAAAGGTCAGAGATGCCAGCCAATGAATTTAGAAGGGGTTACTGCTTTACAGTGGCTTTTTGGTTCAAAGCCTTGGTCCTATTCTCTGACCTCCTAAGCTAAGCATGTATGCTTAACTGAGCTTGGAAGCCTGTGGAAAGGCCCCACTTGTGGGGAGAGGTTGAATGTATGACAGGGTGGGGTAGTTAACACTTAGCACAAACCCTCTGGAATCGACTGCATTGGTGAAGAACACGTTTGCAGGGCGGGGGGTCCCCTCCCATCCAGCAGTCTAACTTCTTCCATGCTTTCTGATTTGAAAATGGAGTCTCTATCGAAAGTAATGCTTGCAGCCATTCTCACATTGTGGTATGTGGGGCCCAGGGAGTCCCTGAGTTTGAACTATTTTTATAATACCATCAAGATGTTATTTGCCCCTTTCCCCATGTTGACACCTTTGCTAATGGTGGAAAAGCAGTGTAGGTAAAAATAACTTCTTCTGGAGCCTTAGCACAGATCAAAGCAGTGACTCTGAACTCTGTGCTGCTGGTTGTTTGTAGTTTAAAAAAAATCTGATTTGTAAAAGATTGTCCTTGACAGAACAGAAGAGTGTATTAATTTCATTAAATTTCAACCACTGAACGCATTTTGAAAAATTTTTGTGTGATGAAATGGGATGTTGCTGGAAGTGCTGTTGCTTCGTGGTGGAGCTGCTGGCCGGAGGGACTGGTGAACAGCACCTCTGCAACAGGCGCAGTGATTGGGGGCCCAGTGCTCCTGCAGTAGGGGTGGCTGTTGGGCAGTGGCGGTGGGAGACAGTGCTTCCGCAGTGCGCCTGCTGGCTGGTAGCAGGGCTGGTGGGTGGAAGGCAGCAGCTCAGCAGCTGGTGCAGCTGTGAGCTGGGCTCATGGTGTTTTCACCACACATCTTTTCACGTGAAGGAATGACACAGACTTGGGTATTTGACAGGAAAAGAAACAAAATGATCCTGTCATGTTACCAGTGGTAAAATTTGAGATTTCAAATGAAAAATTAGAATTCAGAAGACTTTTCTGATGAGATCATGGTGATGTTTTGAGTGGGGTTTTTTTCTTTCTTTTTTGGTACTGGGGATCGAACTGAGGACCTTGCACCTGCGAGGCAGGCACGGTGTCACTGAGTTAAATCCCCAGCCCTATTGAGTATTTTTTTTTTAAATATAGAGAAGGTCAGCATAGCTCTTTGAACCAATGATTTCAGGTGGCCAATGCCCATCGTTACAAAGTCATCTGTAGGTGAGATAGCCACTTAAGGATCCTTAGGACTAGAACCCATTCACTGACATGGCTTCAGGTACTACATTGCAAGTAATCTTAAAGGGGTTACTGTCTGACAAGTTTTGATATTGTATCAAAGGAAATGCCCTGACTAGCTATATCTCCATTTAAATACCTCTCTATTGATAAATATTTGTGTGAGAGGAGATCTTCCTCTCAGGGCTTAACTGAAATCTCACATTGCAACAGATGAATACAGAAGCATATAGGAAGGTCGGGGCATCTCTTAAACCTTGTTTTTTTGGGGTACCGAACTCAGGTCCTTGCACTTGCACAGCAGGTGGCGAAACCACTGAGCTAAATCCTCAGCCCTCTTAAACCTGAAACTAAAGAAATTTGCAAAAATGTCAGCAATGTTACTGTTCTTACTAAATTTGGGAAACCATAGTTATTTTTCATTATATTCATGTTAAAATATAGGGGGTTTATTACTTTTGATGAATGAATAAATACAGTAAAAGTTTTTCTCATCTTAATTTCTAATATAGCACATACCAATAGATACCATCACATAAATAAAAGCTTGTTGGGTTCCTCAGTCATTTTAAAGAGTGGAAGGAAGGCCTAAGACCAAACAAGTTTGAGAACCTTTGGATTAGAGCTATTGACACTAGAAGCCACTCTAGAAGTTGCAAACCAAGGACATACGTGTATATTTATAAAACTGATTTTTTGTGTGGGAGGATTTAGAGAATAGAGCAAAATTATTAAAATGTGTCATTCCTTGGTCCCTTCCTTTCTCTTTCCTGCCCTTGCATCCAGGAGAGCTACAGTTGGAATGAGGGTTCAGTGTGATCCTCATGGTGGTCCCTTGTGCCAGCATCTCTGTCCTGACAGAAGCACAGCTAAGCTTTCTCCACAGAGCCTGAACATGGCACAGGAGCAGAAATACGGGTTCAGGAAAGTGGCAGGTGCTGAAATACAAACAAACACAGTCAGAAGGAAAGCAATCCTGGTGGCAGCAGTTTTAATAAAATAGTTTTGTGGTTATTAGCAGGTCCATAAGTGGTTAAACACAGTTAAGTTACATTGGTGACTTTGAAATGAGTGTGGAAGAGAAAGCTCCTGGAAAGAGAGCTTTGGCAGTGGAGGAAGTGCATGTGTAAAGAGCTTTTTCCTTTTCAATTCCTCTGCAGATCCTCTGTCAATGGGTCCTCAGAAAGCCCTGGAAACCATCGGTGCAAATTTACAGAAGCAGTATGAGAACTGGCAGCCAAGGGTAAGCCTGGTTTACTTGTTGTTCCCTTCCTTTCTTGTGGGAAAGCTTCAGTTCCTTGGTCTCAAACCCTCTCTGAGTGCAAGCGAGAATTCTTTGCAGACCCTCGCCTCGTATATCCAAGGATTGCATGCCCCTTGCACACTTAGCCTGTTGATGTGTACAGGTATTGTTTGTAATGACAGCTCTTGCATTACCGTGAGCCATACATCAGGTAGCCTGTTTCATGAATTTTCTTCACAGAATCTTGTGAAAAGAAATCTTTCATGTTACTCTTAAATTCTGGGTTTTATTTTGCACAGGAAATGTATTTTCAGTAACTCTTCAGTAACCGCAGGTAGGTAGAGCTGTATCCTTCCTGTCTTCAGTTTTCAGACAGGAGAGAAAAAAGTACCCAATGTTCAAAGGATGACACCTATTATGCACTTAGTCTTTGATTCAGAGGTAGGTTTCTTTTTAGGGAGTCAGTTACCAATTAGTGTGTTTTTGTTGTTTATATCTTACAGGGTTTTCTCCCTCCCCTCCCCTCTGTTCCCCTCCCTCTCTTCCTCCTACCTTCTTTCTTAAACAAAAGCAGCATAGAATATAACTTATCATGTTGCCTTTAAGATCTAGGTATTTTTGAACTACCCAAAGCCCTATTTCCTTTATCCCTTTTTATAAACCACCTTGAGGACTTAACTATATTTAGTAGAAAATTAGACATCTGGCCTGTTTATGGAGGTGCGCATATTATATTCAGCTTTATGTGATGGCTTGATTCTGAAATTACGTATAAAGGAGTGTTAGGAAGAAGGCAAGTTAGGCAGGTGGCCTTACCTGTGCACCTCCTGTAGGTTTTACTTTCTTTTCGGCTATAAGCCTGATGGAAACAAGTGATTTATGGAACCTACTTAATACTTGCCTGTTTGGGAGTTTGACTTGTGGATCATTTATCCAAATGATCTGGAATTTAGGGATTACTTGTATATTATTTACATTCTTTGAATAAGAGGATAGGCAGAAATGAATTTGTTCCTGCCTTTAACAATGCCCTTAGGTAATTTCTGTTGGAGCTCATGGTAGTGAGGATACATCTCTGTGTCTTTGTGGTTTGTATTTCTAACTTGTCAAGTCAATAAAAACGGAACTTTGTTCTTTAGAAGGCAGGGTTCTCAGTGGTTATTTTGATAAATCCCTAAAGGCTGTGCTTTTTCCTCTCTTGAGTCTGTTACCTCTTGATGGTTTGTATAAAAATTCAGTACCTTTTTCTCGAGAGTGCAATGCATTTGGGAGTTGGATGAGGACTGGAGCGATATTTTGATGGTATATTCTTTTAAAGATAGTTGAGATGTATAGTGTTTCATGGAGAAATAGCTTCTTTGAGGACTTTGAAGATATCCTGGACCTCAGCAAGGCAAGACGGCCCTTAAGGGAGAATAGGGCAGAGTGGCAATATTGGGAGATGTGACGTTGCTACCAGCACTGTCCTAATTTAAAGAAATTCCTCTGTGACTCAGCTGCTTTTGGCTTCTCCTGGGTTTGACTTTGCTTTTGCTTTTTTGCTGGATACTTTAGGATACTATGTAATTTCAGGTCTTCCAATTATATATGTAGAATGTAACCAGATACCTTCAGATCTTGGGGTTGTTCTTTACTAAATGAGCCTGTGCTGTTTTAATTGCTTTCTTCTTTTTAAAGAAGTATGCCATAAGAAAATATAGTCTTTCAGAATACATATGTTTAATATTCCAGGACATTACAGATTTATTCTATTTAATATGACTTACAGTTTGTTTTTTTTTGAGTGCTAAGAGATTATTTACTGCTTGGTTTATTATTAGTTTAGCTTGGCAGATGTCAGCCAGTTCACACTAGCAGTCAGTAAATGGAATGTTCTAAAGTAAGACTGACTATAAATTTTTTAAAAAATTAATTTTATTTGCACATTTAAGGCATACAATATAATGACATTCATCATTGGAAATTTGCACCTTTACATAATCCATCTTGGTTCTTATTCCCCCCCCCCCC